TTTGAACCGAATTCGACAAAAATTGATTTCCTGGCTTTATTAGGCATCAAAACGCATCAAACCCTAATAGAAATTTGTTTCTAAATCACTCAGGAACCATACTACGTCGTCAATGTGCCGAAATATTGCGCTTTGCATGTGCAATAGAATTGACATAGGCGGCTCATGTACGTATCGCATTGCTGACACAAAATAATTAATTATTCATTACCCGAACATTATTTATGAACTTTTATGATCGGACCATGTAAATAATGCATTGCTGACCATTCTTTAATCATAAAAGTTCATAGACTGTGCTCAGAAAGTGAGTAATTAACGATTTTACATATTCATTGTCGTGTATATTCATCCTACGCGCCGCCCGCGTATGCCACGGAGGAATAATTACCGAAAAACCATATCTTCATAGATTTTAATACAAAATTGAATTTGCTCGTGCTTATGTACTTGACTTTTCAACTTTTTTGTCCACGTTTTTCTCTTGCACCACTCAACCAATTCAACCGGATGACACGGTTGACTATTTTTGCTTTAGCGTGAAATTTACTCGCTCGCTCAACATTGTTAGGTTAGGCGCGGAGCGCCTCAATCAAACAGACATAGTTTACATGTGTTTATACATAGTGTGTGACCGTATGGTGTCAAGCAATCATGCCCATAAGTCCAAATTTTAGGAAATGGATTACAGGAATCGGTGCAATAAGTGGTGCCGTATTTTTTTATCCGAACGATAACGATAATAATGAGGTGCCAGAAAAAGAAACTCCTTGGATACCAACCGCTACACCTTGGACCAAATGGAATCATAATTGGGATAGGTTATATTTTGTATTATCGTTATCAATGTTTATAGAAATATTATTGACCCGTAATTTACTCGGGACATGTAATTAATATTATTTTTCTTTAATAAATGATTAAAATCAAACTCCTCACCAGTTATTTTAATTGAAAATTACTGTGCTGGAAAAAATGTTTTGGTATATTATTTAAATAAAATTAGTGTGATCTTAATTTTTCTTTTTGGACAACAATAATTATTTTCTTTGTATAATGAAAATATCTGTTGTAGGTGTATCATGGGAGATTAATATTTGTATGTCATGTTTAATCATGTAGATATTTCTTTCTAATAATTAGTTATTTTTAATCTATTTGTGCTTATAATTTTATTTATAGACGAGATCCAAAATGTTTAATAAATCCAAAGAAACTAGATAGCTTAAACGATGAAAACAAGTATAGCAAAGAAATAGTAAAAAAGACGGCACATGCAATACGTCATATCATTTTGGTTCGTCATGGGCAATATAATACAAAAGCAAAAACACAGGCTGAAGGAACACTTACGGATCTTGGTAAGCAAATTTTATGTAATTTATACTTTGATAATCTATCATTATTCATATGATATTTTTATCTATTATTTTAAATATAATTATAATCCTGTATGCGACTAAATTAAAATTTAAACTGTTAAGGTAAACAACAAGCTGAGATAACAGGAAAGAGATTGGATGAATTGGGTTTTCCGTATACAGTACTAGTACATTCAACAATGATTAGGGCACAACAGACTGCTGAAATTATAATGAAAAGTCTGAAAAATGTAGAAGTAAAAAATGATTCACTTCTTAATGAGGGTGCACCGATTCCACCTGAACCATTAATTAATTGGAGGCCTGAACTAAATGTATGTAGCTCTTTCACAAATATACACAAGGATTTTAATCTAAAAATTGATCAGAAATAGAGTCGAGAATTATAGAAAGGATTTTTGAATATCTATTTTCCAGAAAGTTCAAACTATGTATATTTAAAATAACATTCTTTAGTTTTATACAGATGGACCCAGGATAGAAGCTGCATTTAGGAAATATTTTCATCGTGCTGATCCTAGCCAAGAGAAAGATTCTTATACAATTCTTGTTTGCCATGCAAATGTTATTAGATATTTTGTATGCCGGTAAATGATTTCGTGTGTTATCTATTTATTTACTTTATTAATGCTCCATTTAATAATTTTATTTATTTTAGAGCTCTACAATTTCCACCACAAAGTTGGTTACGTCTAAGTTTAGGTCATGCAAGTATCACATGGGTCACCATTTACCCTGATGGAATTGTAACACTATGGATTTTTGGTGATACTGCTCATATGAAGCCACAATTCATTTCATAACTAAAATCAAATGTATCATGAAATATTTACAGTATTTTTACCTCCTGTTATTTTCAATTTATAAATGATATAAAAACAAGCTATGTGTGTGTATTTATTTCCTTTTTCATAAATTACATCATGATGATTATATCATAGAAAATTATATCTGTAATAACATTATGCATTTAATTTTATATAAATATGAGCAATATGATAGAGTAGCAATATTTAAGTTCATATTTATAATAGATTATTGTACAGTAGTGGATTTACAAAGTTAAAAGCATTCTGACGTCTGCTTCTTTCATACATTTAAAAAATTTAAATTTTTGCAGGCTTAGTATTTCAGCCACCTAGCGGTGAAAAGTAGGAACTAATGAAACTACAGTTACCAGGGTGTGTAGTTCACCCTGTTCGCCGGAGAGATGGCACTGGTAGTACCATTTTGAGAAACCGCGGGAAAACTTAAAATTTTAAAATTTATGTAAGAATGAAACCTCCAAATGTTTTAAATTTCTCAAATTAACTACTTTTCGATAAACTATCGTCTTTCACACGTTATTTATATATTGTGTCATAGGTGTACTTTTATTATAAATATCATGTTTGCTATTTTCATCAGAAAAGGCAAATTTATATTTGAGTGTACTTGTAGTACTCTATGAAAGTAACAAAAATTTTCAAATTCCTAAACTTCATTATTTTACAATATTTAAATTCTCAAAGTTTCTAATATTTTTAAGATTACTTACATTTCAAGAGAGACTTTTTAGAGACTTAAATATACAAACATTCAAATTTCCAAATCCCACAATTCCCAAGTCCTTAAATTTTCAAACCTTCAACCCCCCAAAATTGTTAAATACTCAAGTTTCCAAATCTTAAGATTCCCAAATTCCCACACCATCAATGTCTGAAATCCCCAAATTCGATCATTTAAAATTTACAATACTCGCTGTCTGGACCCTACCATTAGCCGCGGTGGCTTTAATGATTAATCTTCCTATCTCTAGCGCACCTAGAGAATATAGATATTTAGAACTGCGTCCATTCTCTTCATAACAAATGCAACAGATCTTGGTAGAAAAGTGACCCGTATTCGATGTTTAATTTACACGAATGAATTCTATTCCTTTCACTACCATCGACTGACCAACAAAGAAGCCCAAGAGCAAAGTACACAGGAAGACGAAGTCAATCGAATTTAATAATACTAACAAAATAATTAAATTATTTCAATAAACACATATTGTATATGAAACAAAAAAAAAGAAATTAAGTATAGTCACTTCAAAAATTAATAAAAATTGAAAATACAATAAAAATTAAAATACAGTTAAATATTTATATGAATAGAAATAATAACTGAAATTAATATAGTAGTAAAATCAGTAATTAAATTATATAAAAGATAACATTTAACATTAACCAAAATCATCAAATAAGTGATGCCGACAAGATACAACAGAGATCAGTACTAAATAAAAATTACTATTCACAAAGCAACAATATTTAACTCAATTCCTCATTAAATCCGACGATATAAATTAACGTCGAATACGCTCATACAATATCAAGTAGTCAAAAAATAAGAGCGACATTCACAAAAGAGAGAAAAAAAATTTGCCTAAGAAATTACAATAACTCCGTAAAAGAAGAATATAAATTCGATATAAGTGGAGGTTGGTCGCGAGGAGCCAGGAGGGCGTCGTGGAACGCCGCTGGCCACGTGACCCGCCACCAGAATCCGCGGCGTCCGCCGAAAATCTAAATCCGTCCGAGCCGAGAAGAAGAGGCACCCGCCGGCCTCCGGGACTCTCGCTCTGCCCGAGAACCGCAAACGCGATAGTCAATAATTGCCTTTTGGGTGTACCGGATCGGGCAGCCAGTGATCGTGGACCGCGTGCCCACCACGACTTGTTGGACCTACGTGACCCGTTCCTCTGGAGCCGGCTTCAGACAGGGTAGCTAATCTGGAACGATGATACGAGTTGACGAGACTGACCCAGTGGGCGGTAAGGAACACCATTTCTCTTCGACCAACCTTACAAATCGTGGCGGCTCTTCTTTCGCTACAACGTGGCGGCTCTTCTTTCGCTCGTGTCACGACGCGGTTCGTGAAAAACACTCGTTCGTACCTGGTTCACTGTCGCGATAATCGTTGATAACTGATCGAATTTTGTAAATTGATAGCTCAATCAAAAGTTGAAATGAAAATGAAAAATCAAAATCAGTTGAAAAATCTTTAATTGAATTTGCAAATTGTTGATGCTCGATGAATGAGAATTTGGGACGTTGTTGATAACTGATCGATGAGAATTTGGAAATTGATAACTGATCGATGAGGCTCAGAAAAATCGTTGATAGCTGATTGATAAGAAAACTTGTTGGTAGATGAACAATGAGAAAACTTGTTGGTAGCTGAACAATGAAGAAACTTGCTGATATTTGATCAAAAAGAGTCTGGAGAATATTTGATGCTTGATTAATGAGAGCTAGAGAAATAACTGATACCTGATCAAGGAGGACTAGGAAAGTCGTTGATACCTGATCAATGGGACTCCGAAAAATCATTAATACTTGATCGACGAGAATCCGAAAAATTATTGATACTTGATCGATGAAATTCTGAAAAATTATTAATACTTGATCGGTAAGAATCAGAAACATTGTTGATACTTGATCGATGGGACTCCAAAAAATTATTAATACTTGATCGATGAGAATCCGTAAAATGGTTGATACCTGATCGATGAGACTCCGAAATGTCATTAATACTTGCTTGACTAGAATCCAAAAAGTCGTCGATACCTGATTAATAAGAACCCAAAAAAAATCCAAAATACTTGCTCGAGAATCTGAAGGCACCCGCCGGCCTCCGGGACTCTCGCTCTGCCCGAGAACCGCAAACGCGATAGTCAATAATTGCCTTTTGGGTGTACCGGATCGGGCAGCCAGTGATCGTGGACCGCGTGCCCACCACGACTTGTTGGACCTACGTGACCCGTTCCTCTGGAGCCGGCTTCAGACAGGGTAGCTAATCTGGAACGATGATACGAGTTGACGAGACTGACCCAGTGGGCGGTAAGGAACACCATTTCTCTTCGACCAACCTTACAAATCGTGGCGGCTCTTCTTTCGCTACAACGTGGCGGCTCTTCTTTCGCTCGTGTCACGACGCGGTTCGTGAAAAACACTCGTTCGTACCTGGTTCACTGTCGCGATAATCGTTGATAACTGATCGAATTTTGTAAATTGATAGCTCAATCAAAAGTTGAAATGAAAATGAAAAATCAAAATCAGTTGAAAAATCTTTAATTGAATTTGCAAATTGTTGATGCTCGATGAATGAGAATTTGGGACGTTGTTGATAACTGATCGATGAGAATTTGGAAATTGATAACTGATCGATGAGGCTCAGAAAAATCGTTGATAGCTGATTGATAAGAAAACTTGTTGGTAGATGAACAATGAGAAAACTTGTTGGTAGCTGAACAATGAAGAAACTTGCTGATATTTGATCAAAAAGAGTCTGGAGAATATTTGATGCTTGATTAATGAGAGCTAGAGAAATAACTGATACCTGATCAAGGAGGACTAGGAAAGTCGTTGATACCTGATCAATGGGACTCCGAAAAATCATTAATACTTGATCGACGAGAATCCGAAAAATTATTGATACTTGATCGATGAAATTCTGAAAAATTATTAATACTTGATCGGTAAGAATCAGAAACATTGTTGATACTTGATCGATGGGACTCCAAAAAATTATTAATACTTGATCGATGAGAATCCGTAAAATGGTTGATACCTGATCGATGAGACTCCGAAAAATCATTAATACTTGATTGATGAGAATTAGAAAAATTATTGATACTTGATCAATGGGACTCCGAAAAATTATTAATACTTAATCGGTGAGAATCCGAAAAATTGTGATACTTGACTGATGGAAATCCGAAAAGTCATTAATACTAGATTGATAAAAATCTAAAAAATTGTTAACACTTAATCGATGAGACTCCGAAATGTCATTAATACTTGCTTGACTAGAATCCAAAAAGTCGTCGATACCTGATTAATAAGAACCCAAAAAAAATCCAAAATACTTGCTCGAGAATCTGAAAAATTGTCAACTACCAATAAGAATCCAAAAAACATACTTGATCAACAAGAAACGAAAAAATCTTTGATGCGCGAATAAAAATAGAGATTCACAACACGCAAAAGAGACGTATAGGACGCGACTTTTCCCGATCTCGAGGAATCTCTTTCGAGTCAGTTGTTTCGCGATCGAGTGCAGTGTGTTCCAAGAGTGATTTTACTGGAAATAAATGTTACGGTGATTCATTGGAATCTGGAACGAAGTACGAACGTCGTTCGGTGTTTGTTGATCCCCGTGAACGATCGGGATTCGTTCGAACGGAGATCGCAGACGTTTTACCAGCTGTCTCGGCGCGAAAGGGTGAAATGAGGTCGCGGTCGGCGCGAAACGACGCGTTTGTTTTAGGGACGCTTGTCGAACACGTTCGGTATAAAGGGATCTTTCGATGAACGTTCGTGAATCTACTCTTTGCACTTGTGCACGATTTTATTATTCGAGAAGTGCTCTGGCACTTTCATTCTTATGGAATGGATCTTTCTTTGGATGGAATGTATGTTTCATTCTTAGGAATTTAATGTTTAGTAATATTCATACTTTAGTAAAATTGATTCTTGGAATTTTTTAGTAAAATGGATTTTATTTGAAATTTATGTGTAGGACTTTTGTTGGAGAGGTAGATTTTTATATTGGTGTATTCTAAATCATATTAATGTGTTATACATCACATATTAGACTTATATATATGTTTTATACATGTGTGTATGTCACTTTGTCTAGAAGAACTTCACTGCAGTATACAATCTCAACTTTAATATATTATATCAACTTCAATGTATATGTGTAGTACATACATACAATATACAGTATATGTGACATATGTATTGACTTCATGTCAGTCACTAAAAGCTTGTTGATTTCAGTAGCATATAGTCAGAAAAGAAAAAATGTTGGTTTAAGTGGACTAGTGAGATCATATCAAGTATAATATCATAACAGTAGTATAGCAGTAAAATTTGATAACAGTGACAATACTATACTAGTGGTAGAATAGTGAAATAGAATGGTAGTATGATAATAAGATTATAGTAAAAGATTGAGTAGTATTATATAAGTAAAAACGAATAAGTGGAATAATGAAATACTAGAATAATAGTAACGTAAAATAGTGAAGTATTAAACACACTAAAATGATAAAATAATAAAATTGTGCAATAGTAAAATGGAGGAATAGCAAAATGGTAAAGTAGTGAAATGGTAAAACACAAGTGAAGCATAGTAGAACAGAGTAGAATATTATAATAGAAAAATTAGTAGAAATAGTAGAATGGTAGAAATAGAAAAAAATAGTAAAATAGTAGAATAGAATAGTGGCATTATAGAATAATAAAATAGTAAAATGGTAAATCAATGAAATAGTGATAGAGTGGTAAAATATTAAAATACCAAAATGTCTGAATAGTAAAATACTATTTTAATAAAATGACAAACTAAAACAGTGGAACAGTAGAATAACAATATAATGAAATTATGAAACAATAGAATAGCAATATAACAACGAAATACCAGAATAAAATAGTAAAATAATAATACAGTAATACAGTGAAACAATAGCACAATATAACAATGAAATACCAGAGTACTAAAATAATAAAATAAAATAGAATATTATAACAGCACCAACACCGAAATAATAAAATACCACAATAATGAGGCACGTGGCATATCGTAATCTCGAGCATCCAAAGCCAAATAATTAATAATAACACGTTATACTGAACGAAATGGAACGAGTAAGTATTTTGAACGGTGTACAAGGATTGATATAGTGCGTACATTGTGTACGACGGAGATGACGATTCGGTCGTTGAAGCTGGACCACACGATCAAACTACAAAAATCGCTAAATTTAAACACGAGACAATTCGATATATCTGCACAGCTTCCTGAATGTCAGAATTCATGAGTTGGCGAGCTTCCCTTGTAACCCAGTATCATCGAAAAATAGACGATTAACGTGCTATTTGATTTTGTGTGCAAAGAATTCACTTTCGATATCTTAACATTTTATTGACTACAACCATAAAAATGAACGTCGTTCTTAAATAACAATTTATTGGTACAAAAGTGGAAGACATACTTAGATTATGGAGTTAGGACGTATTAAGATATTCTTTTCAAACTTTAGAGCATAGTGAAACAGTTAAAAGTGAAAACAATTAAAAGCTTCGTGTATAAAATATGAACTTGACATAATTTTCACTAAATAATTCAGAATGAAATAATTTTGTGAGAGAAAAAATTTAACATTGTAAAATGTAATTTTTTAGAAAAGATAGTAACTGAAAAATTCCGAAGAAATCTTTCAAATTAGAATATTAGAATGTTCAATACTTCGAAGAGTGACCTAACCTCTACAAATCTTTGCAGAGCAAACTCCTTGTACAATTTGTTCCTCATATATAATTACACGATACAATTTGTTTCTCATATATAATTTCAATCCACGTTATTAATAGATACAATATCAGAGAATATTACAGAATATCCTCCTTTTTATTAGTAACTATTTAGCTAAGTCCTTGACGTAGGTCATTGGTAACCATCGCTAACGTGTGAAATACTTGAGCACACAAGTTTCGCAAAAAGGCACTCTAGCGGAACTTGTTATCTGTAAAGGAATTTGAGTCGAATTTCAGCACGATCAGCTGCCGGCCTCGAGCAACAAAAATCTCAAAATGCACGTTCCGTGCGATTTTATTCCTATCGACGCACTTTTATCGTTCTCTATACAGAATGTATCGAGACAGGTGGCAGAAGATAAATTCCGTATCTTACGATAAATTAAAAACGCGCAATAAAATGTTTACATTACTTCGTTTTCGAAAAATTGTATACGTACATGATCAGTTAACAAACCCAAGTTGTTCTTGCAGTCAGAACCATTAATAAATGTCACAGTACAATTGTTAAAACGTGTTTCAAATTTGTATTGTTCATAACATTGTTGTCGTCGAATGCGATGAAACTGGGTAACTTGAGACTTGGCCAACACGTGCATTCCATGCATTTGCATATCTGATTGTTTAACAAAATAGACGTTGAAATAGTTACACATTTTTATATATATAATTAGTGAAATGTTGTATATACAACCATAATATGGTACATACAGCCATATGATATGTTTAATATGATATGATTTAAAGTATCTAAAATAAAATGTGGGGATTTGTAATTAAATGAAAAATTGTGGATGTATAAATTTCAATGTAAATTTCTAATAGACTCTCTTTATAATTGCATTTGGTGGAGTAACAGTGGAAAATTTTTGATGTTGGCAATATTTTGGATTGAATAGGAAATTTTATATTGTGATCTGTTACAAGTTAATGTAATACTTGATGACACAACGAGTCAAATGACAGCGTGTCAAATATAGAATATGTCGAATGCACAACTCGTCGGAAATATAGTGTGTGCAACGTACTGAATGTCGAATATACAACTTGTGAAATTTACGAGTCGAATATACAACGCGTTATGTACACAATGCGTCAAAGATACAGCTTGTCAAATATACAATATGTAGGGCATATAGTGAATTGACTATACGCGTCAAGTAGAGAAGTTGGAGAATCAAGTAGAGAATGTATCGAATACATAATTCGTCAAAAATATAGTACGTTGAATATTCTACACTTTTGATATACAACGAGTGGAATACGCAACGCTTCGAACATTCAACGCGCCAAATACTCAACGCTCCGAATACACAACGCGCCAAATACTCAACGCACCGAATACTCAACGCGTCAAATACACAACGCGCCAAATACACAACGCGTCAAATACACAACGCGCCAAATACTCAACGCTCCGAATACACAACGCATCAAATACATAACGCACCGAATACTCAACGCGTCAAATACACAACGCACCGAATACTCAACGCGTCAAACACACAACGCGTCAAATACACAACGCGTCAAATACACAACGCGCCAAATACTCAACGCTCCGAATACACAACGCATCAAATACATAACGCACCGAATACTCAACGCGTCAAATACACAACGCTCTGAATACACAACGTGTCAAATACACAACGCGCCGAATACTCAACGCGCTAAATACACAAAGCTCCAAAAACACAAAGCGTCAAATACACAACGCGCCGAATACTCAATGCTTCGAATACACAACGCTCCAAATATGCAACGCTCCAAACACACAACGCACCAAATACACAACGCTCTGAATACTCAACGCTCCGAATACACAATGCTCCCAATTTACAATGCATTGAGTACACAACGCATAAAATATACAACACGTCGAATACACAGCGCATAAAATATACAATGCTTAGAATTGACAACGCGTCGAACGTAAAACGCTTTCTAATACGGCACGTGTCACTTCACCTTCAGCCAACAAAGCATTTGCAATCATGTTTGTCAGTCAGAAAAGTAACAGCCTTTGACATTATTATTCTTGCACTCAACATAAATGAATAATACAATATACATAGTGTTGTACTACTACACATCAATACATGTGTATTACAATAATGTAATACATAAATATAAATAGTAGCACTATTACACAAAGATTGTAATGAAAGTGTACCCTCCCAAAAGAACTACAAATTAGAACAAGAAATAAATACAATCCAATAGCAAACAATTTATAATTGTATTTCTCTAATTTCAGAAGTCGAACCAAGCTTTCCCTATCGAGATGTGACGGTACGTCGAGGCGTGGAATTCAAGGATCATTATGACATCCAATCAGAAATCGGACGGTAAGTGTGATCACATCCATCGCGATATCAGTTTATACTGTTGCATTTCGCTGGTTGTTAACAAACACAATGTTTCGTGCCAAGGACGATCGATCGATCGGTACGTTCGATCGATAACGTCATCGATTGGCAAGTTTTCCGTCGAGGATGCTCGCGATGTCCTCGTGATGGCACGCGAAATTCGCGACGTAGCTTTTTGAGGTTGACATTCGCGCAATACGAGTCCCTGCATGACGTTCGAAAACGATCATCGTAAATACGGTCGCAAAGCCACAGGGCTGCCTATGTTGCTTATGAATTTTGATGCGATATGCACGTTAGCGCAGGTTACGCAATGATTATACAAGCTGCCCTGAAACTCGGATACACGCCTCGGGTAAGCCCGGGAGAAATGTTTCAAGGAAAACGCAATTCACGTTTTCGATACTTGGGAAATTCATGCGAACTTTCCGCTTTGCACAATGATAAGGTTGTGTGTGGGACTAATGGTAATGACATTTCGAACAATGCTGGAATGTATCATATTTTGAAGTAGGGTGCATTTGGATTTTCTTGGAAATTGACACGTTTTTAGTTTTTCAGTTTTTAAGTTACTGAATTTTTTAGTTTTTGAGCTTTCGAGTTTTCAAGCCTCATTTTTCAATTTTTCAATTTTTCAATTTTTCAATTTTTCAATTTTTCAATTTCTCACTTTTTCAATTTTTCGGCTCTTCCATTTGTCAATTTATCAATTTCTCAACTCTTCAATTTCTTAATTTCTCTATTTCTCAATTTCTCAATTTTTCAATTCTTCAATTTTTCAACTTTTCAATTTTTCAGTTCTCAAAGTTTTCAATTTTTCAGTTCTTCCATTTGTTAATTTTTCAAATTTTCAATTCTTCAATTTTTCAGTCCTTCCATTTGTCAATTTTTCAATTTTTCAACTTTTCAGTTTTTTAATTCTTTCATTTTTCAATTCTTCGAGTTTTCAATTCAAGTTTACAAGTTTACTAAAAAACCTAAAATTTGGAAAGATGTGAACTGCTATAATCATTAATTTACAAATTCAGAAATTTAGAAACTAGAAGTTCCTTGAATTAGAAAATTTAATAGTTACAGTATATGAAATCGTAAAATTGCAATTTAGGAATAAAATATTTCCAAATAATGGAATTTTTTAACTCAGAATATCAAAATATAAAATTTGAAAAAATTGAAAAGTTTAGAAACTAAATATTCAGAAATGTCACAATATTCTATCAGCTTCATGAATTTCCCACATTTGCAATTCGCCGATGGCAATATAACGCGAGTCTCTTTCATAACATCCCACATGTTCCCCAAAGCATACACTATAAAACACACAATACAATTTCCATAAAAATCCAATACAAGTTGTATAAAAAAAGTTTCCCTCATATCGAATAAAAATCTTGAATAATCAGTTTCGCAATAAATCCATTCAATCAAATCTATCTAACGAATACAGATCTATCAGTACATTTTCCGATATCGTTCGATCGATTCGATCATTCAGATTCTATAGTTCACTAATAGTTTGTCATTGACATTCAGATGTTACCTTTGGCACCGGTCCATTCGTCAATACTTTTGTTTGCGTCTACGATCGCTATCGTGTCTCGGTATTCGTTCCCGATTAAAAATAAAAATCTACCATTCGAATCGCGCAACTCTTTTCTATTGTTCCCTCCCGAAATTTGCGATGTTTATCAACATGTTGCACAAGGTACGATGGAACGGGGAGAAAAGCAACATAACATATCATTTGGGAAGAGCGAAAACATGTAGGCAGCGTGTAAACGCAGCTTTACTGGCTCGTGGGAGCGATATTGTCTTGCACGAGAAGATCATTCAAGTTCGAATCTCATTCATAATGGCAGACACGCATAGTAACCAAAAGATTACGATGTATACAAGACGAGAATACTACGTTCGCCGGAAGGAATAAACACGTCAAGGTTTCAGACATTTTACTTCCTCCTTCTTGGAAGGGTTTTGTTAGGTTCACACGGTTAAGTAATTTATTATCTGTACTTTGGTCGGTGTACTTCATAAATCCTCATTAATTTTGCTTGGTAGGATGCAGATTAATACTGTTGTAATTTTACATTTTTATATTTCTTGTTTTATGATTTCTCAAGTTTTCAATTTTTCACCTTTTTAAATTTCTAGATGGAAAATTCTTTTACAATTTTTTTTTTTGGGGGGTTTTTTGAACATTTGTATATTTCCAATTTCTCCAATTACTCAAGGCAACTTTATAATTTCTCAATTAACCAATTTTCCAACATCCTGTCTTTCTAAATTTGGAGATTTGAAGATTTGAAAATTTAAAAGTTTGAATTTTGTATATTTAAAAATTTGAAATTTTTATATTTTCAAATTTCTGAATGACCAATTATCCAATTTCCAAATTTCTAAATGTAGAAACTTAAATAATTAGAAGTTTAAAAATATGAGATTTTGTGAAATTGACAATATGGACAATTTTTTAATTTTTTAAATTTGCAACTTTACATATGTTTCAATTTCAAAATAATAAAATTGAAAATTTCTATTTATATGAATTTTTGTTTGTATTTACAAGTTTATATATTTATATAAGTTTCTATATTTGTATTTATAATTTTATGTATGTACACATTTTTGTGTTTTTTTAAATTCATATTTTTGTATTTATAAATTTATGTATGTATACATATATTTTTGTATTTATAAATGTATGTACATATTTTTGTATTTATAAATTCATGCATGTATATATTTCTGAACTTACTAAATTTATGCATGTACATATTTTTGCATACATGTATAAATTCATGCATGTATATATTTCTGAATTTATTAAATTTATGTACGTACATATTTTTGTATTTATAAACGTATACATACATGTCTATTTGTACAAAATTATAAACTTCTCAATTTTCCGCGTAAAATTCCTAGACTAAAAACCCAATTTAGACAATGATGTATCACCATTCGATCGAAGCATGTCAGTAGCGTCCCGACGCAGGGCGTCTAAGCGACGTCCGGCAACTCGACGCCTGAACGTCAGTCACCGCGAAAAACGCATTATTTATAGCCGCGGTAAGACCTTGATTACACGACGTGCAACGCCGGCTGCATTCCGTCATTATCAAGCTTCAAGCTTTGATTCATTTGTAAATGGGTATCGTGAAGTGAATGTTCGTTTTTCACGATTGGCAACACTCGAAAACGTATTCGATGGAAAGCAGCCAATTCGATAACACGATTGCCATGGAATGAGAACGATTCGAATTAATTGCAAAATATGATTTATGTTCGTTAAGCTGTTAGCGAATTGTCGATGATGAGAGAGTCTTACGAGTTCATTTGGAATTTTAAGTTATGAATGAAAATACCTAACTTGTTAGAAAACCTTAGTCACTCGATTCGTGAACGTAGGCGATAAATCTGAGCGTGAATTTGCATGCACTGAATTACAATTTGTAATTCATGAATCATTCATTTTTTATCCTGAAAATTATACCGGGAATTAAACGTAAGAGTTGACTGTTATTATTACATATTATGTTATGTTATTACATAATATTTTATTGTTATATTAACGATGTGAAGGAGGCAAATTTTGCATGGGAGTTTTGAAATTTTTTAATTTTGGTGCTTGCAAATTTTTTAACTAGTTTCTGTATACTAACTTGCTATTACACTAACAATATACAGTAGAAAATTATACATACGTATTTTTAAATCTTGTAATTTCATTGTTTTTCACATTTTTAATCAATGTTGCCGTAAGTAAAGAATGCGCGGGAATTTTCAAATTCTTTAATCTTGGTATTTGAAAATTTTTTAACCAGTATTTCTATTTATACTAACAGTAGTAACAAGTTATATGTAGGTATTTTTAAATCTTGTAATTTCATTGTTTATACACTTTTTAATTAGTGCTGTGATAAGTAAAAAATGCGCGGGAATTTTGAAAGTTTTCAATCTCATTATTTGGAAACATTATAAAATCTAAAATTTAAACAGTCAAAAGCTTACAAAATTGACAAATTTAATAACGCAATAACATGGATAGTTTACAAATAATTAATGAACATCGTATAAAACAGATTTATCCAAAGTTATTAGAACAGGTTCATAGTGGCGCTACGTTATTTTCTGGCAGATGTTCCATTTTGATAATTCTTGCTTACGACCCTGTTGTCCATGGTACACTCTACTAACTTACTGACTCACAAACTTGGCTTGGTGACAGGCTTGTTATAGGTTACACCACTGCGTTTTATTAAGAGAAGGTGGCTGCTACTTCCTTCATCCACGGTCTACCTCCTCTCGTGTCACATATTATTTCCCTTTACGAATATTTCTTTGAACTATTGTGCGACATTGTTCAATTATTCTGCGACATTTATTTATGCATCAATCAAAAACTTTTATAATGCAACATAATGAAACTGTATTTGCGACGTAGTAGATTTATTAACACGTCGATTGCAACGTGTATCGTTTTTGGTACACGATGAACATTATGCGCAGGCCAAGTTATATTTTTGTCGGTAAAAGGTTGACAGACGAGGACGGTATCGCGTGGCTAATTTGATGGCATTTCAAATTTCCAATTTTGGGATTTGGAAGTTTAGGGAGTTGAGATTTAGGTGATTGGAAAGTTTGTTACTTAAAATTGAGAAAGGGGGTGTAAAATTTTAGAAGACTAGAAATTTAACAATTTAGAAATTTAAAAACTTAAAAACATACAAGCTTAGAAAGTCAAAAAATTAGAAAATTAGAAAATCAGGAATGTACAGAATAAATAATCTAAAAATTAAGAAATGTAGTAATCTAAAATGGCAGAAGTTTAAAAATGAAAAAAAGTAAGTAAGAACATGATAATTTAAAAATTTAGAAATTTAGCAATTTTGAAATTTAAAAACTTAGAAACATACAAGCCTAGAAAATTAAAAAATCAGGAATTTACAAAATAAGAAATATAATAATACAAAAAAGAAGAAGAAAAATTAAAAAAATTAAATAAGAACAAAATTTGTGCTCAGTGCCCCGAAGTGCCCCATCTTGCCCTACGATCCCGGTTATCCATCGCCAGCGCAAAACGCGTGTTAGTAATGAAACTTCCGAGAAAAAAATAGATACACTTTCCTTTATATTTACCGTTCAATCTTGTTGGCTCAACGCGTACGGTTAACATTTTCAAAGCTAAAAAGAATTCAAGTTCTTGGATGGTATTTCGTTGCGTATATTGCTTGGCACAACAGAAACCGCAATAAATTCAAGGTCCCTGCAGCTGCGGGCGTAGCATTTATTGCATTAACGTTAAATAAAACGAACGTTGCCATCCGAATGAAATTCTGTCGCGTGCAAATCCCTTCTGGCAGGATTCAAACTTCATTTTCCTTCTGATCGCGTCGTTATTTTGCACTATTTTCTGCGTCTCCTCTTGTTTCCTCTTAATCCTGATAACCTTGACAAGCGGAGCTACGTGGCAACAGAAATTCCGAAAACCTGTTTGCAACCGGAATAAATTTTAATACGTACTTCAGAAAATTTAAACAACTAGACGTGCACGAAAAAAAGGAACAATGGATCTATCTTGCAGGAAACTGAACGTGCAGAATTTCGCAAGGTCGAGGTTCACGGACGTAGCCGTTCACGTGTTTGAAACGTTCACCGGAATATCAATAAGAACGTCTCTTTGTGCTGCCTCGTTGCTATTGTTCGTAATGCAAAATTTACTGCACATTCATCATTTCGCTATATAAAATTAATTCACTTATTTTAATATTCAAATCGTATGGTTAGGTCGAAAGCTTCGTGGTCAATTTTTGGATTCTGCTAATAAAATTCTGTCTCTTGATGACAATAATTATTCACGTACTGAGACATACATGACATCTATTAAGGTATTTTTGAATTTTTTAAACCAGTGTGCAATTATGTAAAACTGTATGTTTTGGTGTTTTTAAATTTTCATGTTACCTTTGACAAAATGCTTTTCAAAAAGTTTCAAGATTGAAGTTTAAGAATTATATTAAGATTGAATCTTCAACTCTGTATGATTACCCTAATAAAAAACAGTAAAATAAAAATATGAAGACAGAGGAAAAATTTCTGTATTATAAGAGATAGTGAAATGAGCACAATGTGGAAAGATTTTTTGGTTACGGTTTTTGAACCGTCCTAATGTGGCCCGAGCGGAACTATTCTGGTACGAATAAGCAAACGGGAATCTTTGCATTCGCATGAGACGAGTTCGTTCCTATTTGCAGAGGAAAATTTGGCACCGTTTATCGATGCAAGGAGAAAGCGAGCGGTTTGATGCTGGCCGCGAAAGTGGTGAACACCGCGAAAAAAGAGGATAGACGAGCCGTCGAACGAGAAGTGGAAATTATGAGACGGCTACAGCATCCCCGACTGATTCAACTCTATGATGCCATCGACACGGGCAAACAGATATACGTCATTTTGGAACTGTAAGAACTTAACACTGTGTGCTTACTCTGCTTTGATCAGGGAAATTTCCATTATAGCTGACTTTGTGTTTCAAGGATCGAAGGCGGTGAACTGTTCGAGAGAGTGATAGACGATGACTTTGTGTTGACTGAACGCAGTTGCACCGTTTTCATGAGACAGATCTGTGAGGGTATCGAATTTATTCATCGTCAGAATATTCTGCACCTTGATTTAAAGGTTAGTTGCGTTTTTAGGTGCTTTTTTAACAGTTGGCAATTTCTGATAAATTTTGTATCTGTTATGTGTATGTAGTTTTAGGAGTATATGTGTGTTAGTAGTTTAACGATTTACTAATGTAGTAATGACTTTGTAATTTAATTACCAGTTTGAAGGTAATAAATACTCTAACAAGCACTCAGATTTCTAACTTAGCAATGAGAAGTTAATAACTTGAAGCTAATAACTAATAGAGCTAGTTAGCTACTAATTTGCAGTTAACCCCTTAAGAGCCACATGTAGATTAACATGTGTAGCTACACCTGTGGCGCTCACTACAATTGGAATGTGATAGACTCATATTTTCACTGCAATTGAATTTTAGTTTCAATTCTAGTTACAACTGTATCATCAAGGTTTGCTGAAGGCAAAATGTGTCTAACATTTAAACATTCTTTAATTGTCTTAACGTTATAGCAATAATTATATAGCTGTGAATGATGCATCTGCCTAGAAATTTAAAGGTTAAGAGCCTAATAACTCATCACTTATTACCTAAATAATTAGTAACTCCTAAACTACCTAATTTTCTAAACAGTATCTTAACAAGCTAGCAACGCAATTAGCAATAAATTAATAAATTTTGTTGATGAAGCAAGAAGCTGAATAATAGAATGAAGCATTTAGCGTATCAATTTGCTGCGAAAGAGGTACTATAAATGAACATTCTCTGTTCATAGCCGGAGAACATACTGTGTCTGACGAAGGAAGGTAATAGGATTAAAATCATAGACTTCGGACTTGCGAGGGAGTACGATCCAAAGAAGAAGCTGCAGGTTCTATTTGGCACGCCGGAGTTCGTTGCACCGGAAGTCGTAAATTTCGATCAGATTGGTTTCGGTACCGACATGTGGAGTATAGGCGTCATCTGTTACGTACTGTGAGTTTCCTTTCGATTCCACTTAATTTGTCCTCAAACTACTTCGCAAGAATTTCCGAATATCACTTTTTACATCTTTATATTCTTTCTTGTATCTTGCAAAGTTTCTCTCGGTACAAGTTTCCGATTTTTTACTTTCTATTTCTTAAATTTATTATTGGTGTATTTTGTCAAGTTTATGGATTTTTGTATCTTTACGTTCTTGTATCATATAAATTATAGAGTGTATTTATAGATTTCAATGTTTCATATCTCAACTCTTTAGATCTTGATGTCCTTGGATTTCAATGTTGCTGCAAGTTACCCTTCGACTCTAATATCTTTAGATTTTAGTATTCTTTAATTTCTAGTTGACAAAATACTTGGATTTTAACAGTTCTACATATTCCTAGATTTTTTAATTCTCATATTCTTGAAAGCTTATGTGTACTCCTAAATAACTTATATTCCTGTATATAGAAAATCCATATGTGATAGCCCTAAATCATAGTCCATCACCAAATTCCTATATTCGTATAAATTATGTCCTAGACTGTTACATTTACATTCATAGTATAATTGTAATACTCTTCCCTTATTGTATACATATATACATACATACATACATACATGCATACATACATACATACATACATACATACATACACACACGTATAGTATAAGAACCACATATCTACATGTCTCTAAATTCCCATAACTCCACATCCATTCCTACATCACCACATCCCTTCTCAGTTAATTAAAGAATGATTTGGTTTCCAGATTATCCGGATTGTCTCCGTTTATGGGCGACACGGACATCGAAACAATGGCGAACGTCACGATCGCAAAATACGACTTCGACCACGACGCATTCGCCGACATTTCCGAAGACGCCAAAGACTTCATTCGTTGTCTGCTAGTCAAAGACAAAGAGTACGTATCGCTTGTTTTTTTACGATATTTACACGATAGCTGATTAAAGTCGAACATTGATCCGTAATATCAACGAAACGGCTCAGATAACGGAATGCAAGAACAGAAGGTTGCCAAGAGAATCTCTCGTTCGAATAATCTATGAATCGATCGTTTCGTCCGCTAGACTAAATAGTCGGCTGTTCTAAATTATTGCGTCAAACATTTCGAACTACGACGTGTAATAGTCTGGTAATGTGGATCGTTGCTTCGTTCACCAGAAACAGCAACGGTGCAATTAAATTCACGATATCTGTTCGTATCTAATACACATAAGCCTACATGAACAGTGGAATTCGTTAAAGTAAACATAATTTACGACTTAAACATTTGGAATATTCAGTTCAAGGATGGGATTGAATATCCTGGTAGTTGACACTTATTTTAAGTTGCAAAAGCTTTCCACTAACAAAGTTTCTTAAACAGTGTTGTTTGAAAGACTATGCATTTGTGTGAAAATTACCTTCGTGCTTTGTCATGTTTTATTCTATCAGTTACTGCTTCATGGACCGATTATAAACTTTTAAGAAACTTGTGTCAACTTTCACGGTTTGATTCAATTTGTTAAAGCTTTCTGTTTGCTTACTAAAACAGAGCTTCGAAGGAAAGAGTTCTTGTATTTTTAGTTATCTGGGCAGTTTTGTAACTCTTTCGTAAATATTCTTCGACTTTCTCTCTCTCCCTTTGTGCCTGATTAATCCCCAGCATGTTTTCTTCATTTTCCACGATCTTTTCATCGAAATCAATAATATCTCGGACAAAGTTGTTAGATTCACTGTTATCAAACTTTCAAGTTCCAATACAGCGACTCGTTTCAAGCTTTTCAAGCTCTAACAATAGTACGAGCACGAGCTACTTCGAGACGAATTGAATCAGAAATCGATTGATCGAGTTCATGCCGACGGAATAGTTTTCGCCCGTTCACGAACAGTCTCCTTGCTGACCTGCTGCCACTCGATAACGGTCCAAACATGAACAACAAGGAAGCGGATTCATCGTTTCATTTTCCGTCTCGAGATATTCATTTTGGAACACTTTACATCACCGATATGCACCCTGCACGTTTCCACCTCACCATCCACACACCATTCGCTTCCATCGTTCAAAACACACTGCAGTCTCGCTATATGGCCCTCGACAAGAAAGTGGTTGTATAAACAGAAATTGTTCCATGTGGTAATTTCTTATCACTTATTATATATGATCAATTAAAATTCAACTCTCTTTATATATTAGAAAGGTTGGAATGTTCGACATTTTCAAATTTAAAGGATTTATACATTTCTAAATGGGGAAGTTTATACATTTGCAGGGTTATACATTTCTAAATCAGAAAAAAGATAAAATTTTAAGTCTATATATTTCTTTCCTGAATTTAAAGATATGAAACCTCCTAATTTCTACATTAAAAATTTCGATAATATCTGAGTTCTTAAACTTGCAATATCAGCAGTAGAAAATCTGAAATCTGCTGGACTCGATATTTCTAAATTTAAGAATGTCTAAATTGATCATTCTAAACCTACGGTTACTATAATATTATAATATCAGTAGTGTAACAGTCCACCTAAAAGACCTCAACGGGCCAAATAGCGAGACTCCACGGTAAATGCTCCTCGGGAAAAAAAAGGGAGAGAGAGTAAGGTACGAATTCGAGAGTGATCCTCACGAGGAAGCTGTCGAATCTTTCAGAAAACGAATGTCGGCCGCTCAGTGCAGGGATCACCGTTGGTTGTCGAAAAAGGCGAGCAAGCAGCAGGTCGAGCAAGCGTCCAAACCACAGATTCCGCAAATCCACGAGATACCCCGTGTGGAGATGAGCTGCCCGGACGAGCTGGACGTGGCCAAGGACAATCTGAGGCTGTTCGTAGAACGTTGGCGGGAGCATCCGAACAGTCCGTACATGATCGATACGCCCCAGTACTTGCCGCGGCTGAACTCGATTCAGGATCGCGAGGACTTGGTGTCGTTAAAGGGCCACAGTCCTTCGCCTTGTGCCAGTATCTGCAGCACGCCGTCAGAAACGGCAGAGGATTCTCCCAGAGACAGTCACAGTTCGTTCTTGACGGTGCCTGGTCTCGGTTTCGAGAGGAGGGCATCCGAGGGTATTTCTATGGAGAAGTCGCGCGCTGACCCGGCTAGCCAGATCATCCTCGCTGAAGAAATAATCAAATTGTCCGAACACCTGCGTACTATAGCGATGGGAACGTGCATCAAGTCCGAGGAGGACGCTCGACCCGCGGAGAGTCGTCAGGAAAAGCCGGAGGACAAAAGCAGGAGTCGTAACGGTGTCCACACGAAGAGCAACGGTTTGGTGTCCAAGAACAGCGAGTGCAACGAAATCACCGAGAAGCTGTCCAGCATAATGCAACACAGGAAGCTCAACGGTACGACCTTCCACAGTAGCCGTAGTTTCGAGAAATACACAGAAACCAACAGCGGTAACGTGTTCTCCTTGAAAAAACAGAAACAGAACGCTGAAGAGAAGAGCTCCTCCAGGAAGGAGGATGGAAGCGAAGAGACCGGCAGCTCCGTCAGGACCGTCGAAGAGAAAATGGAGTCGAGGAACGTCCGATTGTCCGGAGACGGGGAGATGGATCTGACACCGCCATGGCGACGTCCCAGGGTGAAACATCAATTCGGAGAGACCAGCCGAGACGTTCCAAGGATCTCTGGACTGCGAAACCTCCACAAGAGTCTGAATCTCGACGAACCGACCAGCACTAAGGATCTGTTGCTTCATCTGCTGGAAGAGTGGGACGGTGTCGCTACGCGGCCTTCCGGTGTCGGCCGGAAGTCCGTGAGCGTCGACTGGTGCGGCGAGGAGTCGGTCGGCAGGAAAACCATGAACTCTCTGGCTGAGTATTTTCAAGCGAGACAACAGAAATCGACGGCTTCCGGTTCGACCGCACAGAATTCCGTGCATCGTTGAATGGAATCGTTCGGTGATTCGAGGACCGTGTCGGATTTAGTTCGTCGAGATGGCGAGCATTGTGAAGTTCTCAGGGCAATACGAGAAGCGTGATCGACGAGGGTGCATCCTTTGATATGCTCGGAACTTGTGAACAACAATGCCGTTTCCGGTTTCGATGAAATTCGAGAAACTCTAATGAACCTGCAACACGATCATTCGTTTCTGGCCGATTTAACGGGAAAATTTGACACGTATTAAGCATTTGGTGAATTGTTCTCGTTTTTGGATTCGAGGTTGTTTCTGATGTTGTAACCTTTTTGCTTCGATGAAATTTTCTGACGAATTTTATACCACAAAAGACATCTTTTTAGTGAAACGGAGTACAAAGGTTTATCTGCATGTAATCGTAAGCTTTGATATTAAGATGGTAACTAAATTTTCATGTATTTTAAATGCTATAATGCAATTGAAAAGACACGTACCATACAAACGAAAAATCAACTCGAATACTATTCCCTTCAATTTAAAATTCAACAATAAATTTTGTAAAAAAAATGCAAAGGAATTTAGTTGCCAACTCAATAGTCTCATAGGCAAGAAAAGAAGCATATCAAACAGTTATTGATGTTGTTAAATGTTCGACTGCGATATATCGAAGATTGTTTCTATTTATTATGCACGACACGTGCACGCGTATGCAATATATTATTTATACAGGTTTAAGTTATGCAATAATTATAAGCGAGTGTAACAACGTCCAATTTCACATTTTATCAGACTGTAACGTGATCGATCATCGTGCTCACATGTCTGTGCATATATCCTTGTTTTAATGTATTATTTATACTATTATATTTAATACAAAAATTCATAAATCTGTACCCCGAATGTTTTCATTTCATGAACTCCATTTTCACAAATTTCGTAATAAACATTTTTCCCCAGTAACTACTGTGATGTTTATTTTAAACAATTTAACGTGCATGAAATTTGTCGTTTGCAACGTGGCACGTATAGCATGACAAAGTCTGGAATCTGTTTGGGGATGGATTAGCTGTGGTGAGCTGTCACTTGTAACGAGAAGATTGAAATATGGGGAGTAAGGATATGTGGACTTAGTTTTGGGGGTTGGAGACATTAGGGTTTAAGGATATTGGAGTTTTAGGATATCGGGGTTTAGGGTAATTGCAATTTTGGGGATATCGGGATTTAGGGATACTGGGATTTAGGGATATCGGGGTTTAGGGATACCAAGATTTAGAAATACTGGGGTTTGAGAATATTAGGATTAAGAGATATTGGAATTTAGGGATATCGCGATTAAGAGATACTAGGATTTAGGGATATTGGGACTTAGGAATATCAGGGCTTAGGGATATCAAGATTTAGAAATTCTGGAGTTTGAGGATATTAGAATTTAGAGATATCGGGATTTTGAGATATTGGAATTTAAGGATATCGCAATTTAGAAATACTAGGATTTAGGAACACTTGGACTTAGGAATATCGGGGCTTAGGGATATCGAGATTTAGAAATACTGGGGTTTGAGGATATTGGGATTTAGAGGGGTTCAGGGATACTGGGGTTTAGCGATATCAAGGGTTAGAAATATTGGGGTTTGAAGATATTGGGATTTGATGATACCAGGGTTTAAGGGCATTAAAGTGTAGATATTCCAGAATTTAGGATATATCAAGGTTTAGAGATATCGGAATTTAGAGATGTCAAGGTTTAGAGATATTGGAATTTAGAGATGTCAAGGTTTAGAGATATTGGAATTTAGAGATGTCAAGATTTAGACATATTGGAATTTAAGGATATCAAAATGTAAAATTATCAGGTTCTATATGTACAGAAATCTACAAATGTAGAGATCAAAGTATTTAGAAATATCAAGGTTTAAATATATTGGAATTTGAGAATATTAAGATATGAAAGTATCAAGTTCTACATGTATAAAAATCCAGAGATGTAGGAATCAAGGGATTTAGAGATCTAAAACCAGAGGTATCAAGATTCAGATAAATCGTAGTTCAAAATATCTGGGTTTAGAAGTATTGAGATACAGGAACATTGTAATCCACAGACATTTAACTACAATAACTGATACTAAAGTCCATAATATAATATGATATTTGAATTTAGAAATATTGATATGTAAAAATATATTACCCAAGAAATTAAATACATTTCAATTTTATAGTAATATATTATAATATTTATTGAGCTATATTGTATGTTACAAACTGTATGTTACCTGTATCTTACAACTGTATGCTACAAATGATGTTATGTTTACCATGCTTCATAAATCTCCCTACGATTCCAGACTTTTGGAACATCTAACGAATTAACACTAGATCTACCAACCAGTCAAAACGTCTGGTTTCAGATTTCTCATTTTATAATACAAAATTTGATTATCGTGATTCTATGGAAATGTCTGTCATATCTTGTTGAGGTAAAAACTAGTTCTATATGTTACTTAATGCTTTAGTATTTATTTATTTTTAATTCTTCGATAAACGAGCATTTAATGTCGGTAGTTCTAGTGTTAAACAAAGCAAGCCAACAAAGTAATTTAACAAAGTAATAAGATTAATACAAAAGTGACCAGCAACCGAATGCTACACCTCGTGCAAATAAACGAGAAAATGAGCAGAAATCTGATCGATTATTTGTCTCCAGGAAAAGACCAACCGCGAGTCAACTTTTAGAGCACCAGTGGCTGGAGGCGGCTTTGGAGAATCCGATCTGTAAAGTTCGATTAAAGCGGTACGTCATCAAGAAGAGATGGATCAAGGCGGTCAATACGATATTGGCGTTGAAACGAATGGGTGCCCACTTAGACTTCGAGTAGCTCGATATCCTATTCTTAGATAGCGAATTAACATTTAGGCTAGACGTTTGTCGACCGCGAAAAGAAAATGGAAAAAAAATATTGCGACGATCTCCATCGACGAGATGTTTCAGTAACTGCTTTGAAGTATTATTCCCCGATCGATTCGTATGTGGAATAAATGAAGCTTGCGAATTTTCCTTTTTTCTTTAAAGTATACAATTTAGATTTTAGCGTGGTTTGTAAGTACGCACAGTCGTGTGACAGTATTATAAACATTGATTAAATAATTCCATTCGATAGATGGCTACCTTGGTTTTTGCTATTTAGAGTAGTTACGAGTGAACTATTCCATAATGGAAGTTTTAATTACTTACAAATCATTCGTTACTTAAGGTAGAACAGTACTGATACATTGTAATCATTTACATTAACTTTTTATTGTAAATCATATAAGTGTGTTTGTAGTGTAGAGATATGTATTGTAACTTCATCGAAACTGTCGCGCCAAATTTCAGTCTATTCATTAATTTCATGGACAATTAAATTCGCGACGTATATAATTCGCATTCCTGATATGCATGGAGACAACATTCTTAATACGTTGACTGCCATCATGGATGTCGCCAGATTAGTCGTCATCACAAATTTATTTTAAGTCCAATTTCATCATGTTACTCTACATGGATTTATATTTATCTCTACTTACAAAATATTCAATTCATACAACGGGTCTACCAATTCGAAAATTATATTTCTAGTACCTTGAACAAAAATTTATTAACTTCTAAATTTTTTAAATTTTAAATTCTTAAATTTTAAATTTTTTGTTTTCTATATTTTTTAATTCTTCATTTTTCAATTTGGAAATTCTTAAACTTTTCATTTTGCAATTTTTAGTTTTACAAATTCTAAATTCTTAAATTTTAAATTTTTTCACTTTCTACATTTTTCAATTTCTAAACTTTTTAATTTGGAATTTTTCAATTTCTAAATTCTTACATTTCTAGTTTTACAATTTCTAAATTCTTAAATTAAAAATTTGTCATTTTCTACATTTTTAAATTCTTTATTTTCCAATTTCTACATTCTCCATTTTTCAATTTCTAAATTCTTAAATTTTTATTTTCTCAATTTCTAAATTCTTACATTTTTAGTTTTACAGTTTCTAAACTCTTATATTTAAAATATTTTGTTTTCTACATTTTTCAATTTCTAAATTCTGGAATTTTTAATTCTTCAATTTCTACATTCTTAAATTACTACCTTCTCAGTTCCTAAATTCTTAAATTCTTATTTTCTCAGTCTCTAAATTAAAACTTTAAATTCTTCCACTTCCAAAATCTAAAATATTAAATTCATTTTTCAATTCCAAGACTGTCGGACTTTGAAATTTCTAAATATGGTTGTTGGATTCTGAAAGAAATCGAATCGTCAGCAACACAGGAATGACGTGGAAATCAAAGTGTTAGCAAATAGTAAAATGGTCGACATTGACGCCACCGCGGTAAAATACACACTCGTTCAAAGTCGAAATTCCTGAAGCGGGATCGCGTATTGTAAATTTACGATGCCCCCGCATGATTGGAATTCGTATTATGTAAATACGAGCATGTAACGCGCCAGTCGTGCCTTTAAATAAAGTCTTCTACAGTGTCATGCACAACGCGAAGCCGCACGATGTCGTATTATATTAATAGATGTAGATCCACCTGTTGTCTGACGTCTGCTGTTCCAAATCGTTGCGATTGCTCTTTCTTTGTCGTACAGAAACAAGGGCATGGGATCACTCGACAATACTGAACAACGTATTAATAATTATGACAGTGGTAGTAGTGCAAGGGGATTGAGTCAAAAGAAATTTGAGGTTTTGAGAAATTGGGATTTGGGAATTTAGGAAATTTTGAAGGTGAAATGTGGGGATTTAGGGGTTTGATAATTTGAGAATTCGGGAAATTTGGAAAATCGAAAAATTGCAAATATTAAAATTTGGGAATTCGGAAAATCGAAAAATTGCAAATATTGAAAATTTGGAAATTTGGAAAATCGAAAAATTGGAAATATTGAAAATTTGGAAATTTTGAAAGTTTAGAATATTCGGGAAATTTGGCAATTTGTGAAATTTAAGAATTTGAAAATTTGGAAATTTGGAAAATTGAAAAATGAAAATTTGAAATTTTGAAAAGGTGGAAAATTGAAAATTTGAAATTTTGAAATTTTGAAAAGGTGGAAAATTGAAAATTTGAAATTTTGAAAAGGTGGAAAATTGAAAGTTTGAAATTTTGAAAAGGTGGAAAATTGAAAATTTGGAAAATCGAAAATTTGAAAACCTAAGGATTCAATTTAAAAATTCAAACATTTTGGAAACTTAAAAAATAAAATTTTTCAGCTCTAATTCTAAACAGAAATCAACAAATTAACATTTCTACTGTAAAACAGTACTAAATTAGAATAATTAGATAAACTAGTTTGACATTATAAAATACCAAAGAATATTCAGTAGATTGATAATATTAACTACGAAAGAGTGAGTTTAATCAATAATCAGATAGGTAGTTGTGTGCAAATGTAATGTAATGTAGACGTAGATAGAAATTTCCTGAGGTGATCTCCTTGAAAAGTAACACTGTATACGATTAATAATATCTTTTATAATATCTATTTGAAAAAATGTAAAAGTTATTTTAATTAAAGTAATTTATTGTATTTCCATTGTGTTTAACATACCTTTTATTTTCAATACATTTAAGAAATATATATAAATTTAATTAGCTCAAATAGATTTGATTTTTTGAGTCTAATGTAGCGTGATAAATGTTTTATCTCTTGTAGGAAATTAGAAATTGATTGTTCGTTTATCATTTTAAATTTATTTCCTAGACTTCTGTGTAGGTGGCAGCATCATATTCAATGCTGAATTTGAGTGTTTTGTAATCGTGTGTCAAACGTTTCTGTCATAATATTATCTTTTTATTTTTAATACAAACATTTGTCAATATTTGATAGTTAAAAGTTAAAAGTCAATAGTAATTTCTTTCATAATTTTGTAGTGACCATTGTTACTACTGCTTATTAAAATTTATTCTTGCAAAGATGGTGAGTTAACCTCTTATTAAAACTTACTTTTTATAAATTTCAAAGTATTTTGAATGACAAGTAGTAATTTTATTATAAGATACAATTTAGTAGGTCATTTTCTTATCTAGCATGTATTTCAAATTGTTGTACATAACAGAAAATATACATGAAAAAGAAGAAATGTACATACATAATATACATATGTTTTAGACTGATATATTGCAGAATTGGAGCCCTTATGCTAAAGAATATGATCCGTTGAAAGCTGGCAGCATAGATGGCACAGATACAGAACCACACGATAAAGCTATTAGTCGTGCAATACAAGCACACTATGAACCACCTTATGGATTAAAGTCAAAGCCAGAAAGAACATTATTCGTGGCTAGATTTGGACCAAAAGTTACTAAACATGATTTAAAGGAGGTATAGGGTCATCATTAGACTGTAGATATTCATGTCTTTACTATATATTAATGTCTAGAATGAATGTAGTTCTTTTGTAGGTATGGAGATGTCATATCTGCAAAGGTTATAGTTGACATTGTAACAGGTTTAACTCAGGGTTATGGGTTTGTAGAAATGAGATCAGAAGATGAAGCCAGGAGGGCTGTTAGGCGCAGTGTCGATGCTACATTGAAAGGCCATAAAATTTTTGTTGATTATGAATGTGGTCGTTTAATGAAAGGTTGGAAACCAAGAAGGCTTGGTAAGTGTCCACCTGTTACAACTTTATATATTGTCTACATATTGTTCTGTTTGCAATGTGTTACATCTTTTCAGGTGGTGGTTTTGGTGGCAAAAAAGAGTCGGGACAACTTAGGTTTGGTGGAAGAGACAGACCTTTCAAGAAGCCAATTGTACCTAATATCATAAGATCCCATAATTAATGTAATTCTAAGTAGGTCAATAGATCATTTGTATCAGTTTATAAAAAACTATTTGTAAAATAATCATTTAGAATTTTGTAAAGTTAGAATGTTATACTTGTATTTGAAAGATATGTCCGTAAACTGTTTTGATCTTGACTTGGAGCCAATATAAATATTTTAGACTGTATTCATATGTCACTTAAACCCATTAGAAACAATCATAAAACATTATAACTATTATTATCATCCAAACTCTATTTTTCATTCAAAGTCTTGTAATGCGAGAATTATTAATTTATACATAAATTAATGTTTATATATAAGTACCTAAAAATAAAACAAAATCTAAAAATTCCTTATTTCTGAAACATTTTAACTCGTGTGTTTTGTATTAGATCCAGACATTCTTTATTAACCGTTCTTCTAAATCGCTCGAGTTACGTCATTTGGAAACTTTTGTTTTTTTCCACATTCCCATAAATCCCGATCGATGTCAAAACCATTTCATTATTTTTGTCCCCTTCGAAAATTACAAAATCACTCTTGAAAATAGATAACATTCATTCTGACTTTATATCAAATGAGATAATTTTCTGATTATAGTATTCATTCAGTTTAGTTCGTTTCATCTCTATAATTATTCACAATTATTTTAATAACACTTTAAACACAACTTTGCCCATCATCGATAATTCAGTTTGCTTTTAACAGGAAAAAAATCGTTAATGCCGGATCATTTTGGGACACGTAGATTCAGGAAAATCTAATTAACTATTCGATTCGTGTCATCCAATATTAATTAACGCGTCACCGGTTAATGACTTCCGACATGATAATAGCTCTACACGTATAGAGCTACATGCTCTCCATTTTCCTATAGCAACAAATTAAAATACGTTTCTGTAATTCCTCAAAATTTGGAAATTTTTTAATTTATGAATTAGGGAGTTGGAAAATATAGGAATTTATTTGCAAGGTTATAAACTTGAGAATTTGAAGACTTGACAAATTTTTAAATTGGAAATGAGTATTTACAATTTTGGAAAATTGATAACTTTTAAATTTAGAGTTTAGAAATTTGTAGGTTTAGAAGATTTTAACATAGAAAATTTGTAGATCCAGAAATTTAATGATTTGGAAAATTGGGGTACTCTAAAAATTTCAAAATTTGCAAATCCCCAAAGAAAATTTAGGAAACCTAACAAACTTGAAAATGATGGTTCAGGTTTTTGTAACAGTGGAGATTTTTAATTTTTGAACTTTTCTTAAAATTGTGATTATTAAAATTATAGAAATTCTTCAAAACTGAATTACAAAAATTAATTTTGTAATTTTCGAAAATGATTCCGACCCGAATTTCGAGATTTCGATATTCGGATCGGTACACATCTACTGATCAGAGCAAGCAAGCCAAGAGAGGAGCCTTCTGACGTGATGTGAAGCGACGTCGTCAGCGTCGTGGAACTTTATACCCGAGCGTCGCGACGCCCTCTCCCTAGTATCTCCCCTCCATATATGGAGTCGCCTCGTGGTTGAACGTCGACCACGCGGACCGAAGTTTGAGCTTCCAGGCTCACTCTGATAAGGTAGCCTCCTTCTTCGACGTCTCTCTGCGTCCACCGGTTTAGCCAAGGTCTCAGAGGGCCAACCCACATTCGTTTATCGCGGCTCCTATTTCGTCGGCTCGGACGCTGCTCCCGTTTTCACAACACAACGTCTTCTTGTGCTTTTTTTATTCACGGACACAGCTCCTCTCGGAAGCCACACAAAATTCGCCACTATTCCCTGCTCCACGAATTTTCTTCTTCAAAAGCATTTGCAACTTCATTCTACTTCATGCGACTTCATTTTGCTTTGAGAGGACGGTGTTAAATAATTCTCTATGTTTACTCTTCTTTGATACATATTTTCTGTAAAGTACTCGTTCCTGTGACCTTTTATTTTTATACAAAATTCTGTATGAAATAGATATAAACTTCTATGTTTTCAAATTTACAAATAATCAAATTTTTTTATTTCTTAAAACATTAAATTCTGAAGTTCAAACTCATAGCTGTTACCCACATTGATAGAAGATAATTAAATTGAAACACCTGTACCTCAAAATAGTCACCAAAGGTTTGTCATCTACGGTATCTAGGTAACGTAAATTAATTTCCAAATAATTTCATCCATGTTTACGATTAAGAGATCTGAAGTGAGGAACCCGCTTTCCGGACTTGTAACATTTCTCGTTTTCATTGCTGGAGGATAAATATATCTTGCGGTGTCTTCGCTTAGACGAATAGCTGTTCTCTGGCAAGCAAAACACGAAATAGTAACGGGACAGATATAATGTAGCTATATCAGCGTCAGAAATAACTTACTCAATGCAAAAATTTATCTCCAATCTACTCCATTTTCCTTTCACAATACAAATTTTCAAAGTCGAATTTTTATGAAAAATTTTTTTTGACAATATGTATATCTGACGCTTTTAAAGAAATATAGATTTAGCGGGATTTTTATTTGTAGATGCATTCGGAATTTCCTGATAGTGTATTCGAGTTCTTATCAAGGATAAGAACAGATATTTCACGAAGCTTTTACGAGAACATACAGTGTCCTCTTAGGAAAGATGAGAGGATTTTCGGAAAAAGCAATTCGAGACGTGAGGTCCACAAGTTTCCAGATTTGCAATAAACAGCTGGACTTTTTTATTTTTCTAATTCGTGACCATAATCGTACACGAGATTTCGCCCTCTTCCGACCATTAAACGTGCACTTCCATTTTCTTCTTTTCGTGACCGAATGCTCGCTCGAACGGAAGTAAAAAGCAAAACGTGAAAAGGTTCGCGAGTGGCTGCCGCTACACGTTCGAATAAACTGCTATTTTTAAATACCTAGAATTACGCACGCACACTAGACTTCGGGAATTAGAACTCTTATCATTAACCGAGAGACTTCGTTCCGTGAATTTAAAGCCGCGAAAGTTTCCCCTTCGTGAATACTTAAGTTGTAAAAGCAGTTGGGAGAAAGCTACTGAAATATAAGGTTACGCAACACTCAGCGTGATTCAAAATAAAAAATCTACATTCTTGGATAACCAAGTCTTAACTTTTCAGATGTTTGAGTCACAACATTTCATAATTTGATTCTCTTTCTCAGTCCTTGAATTTCTAGGATCTTAAATTCCTAATTATTATCAAACTTAAAAATTTTTGAAGTGTTCAAGATGTTCTCAAGTTTCCAGATTTTCTCAAATTTTTTAAATTACAAGTTTGTAAATTTTTCAACGAACGGTCCTTGATCTGTCGCTATTTTCTTTGAGGAAATGAGGGTTGTCAGTGTACAAGAAAAACAACAGGTGTAGAATACTCTGAATAATTGTCCTCTCGTATTTTACTAGACAGCGTATCGATATAAAGTAGATTTATCATATGCATGTTAGAATCACCTTCCGTTATGTAATAAATATTCGTGCAAAATTGTTTATTCGGCAGCTGGTGAACTTCGATGAAAAAGATAGGTTCGATGCAAGAATAACAAAATACGACTAGTGACAAAGGTTCCCCGTTCAGTCACGCTAGACTCCTAATCAAGTTATTCAAAATTCGCTTATCCCTTCCCGAAGCCTGGCGTCCTCATCGACGATTCGGTGTCAGAGCGACAGATAGCGATGCGGGGGCGAAAACAGGCGTGAAAAAGGGGGTCCACGGGAAAGGGAACTCGCGATCACCAACACGGGCTCTAAGAAGGGACGAAAATAGTAGCGTGCCAGGATCGTATCACGCTCGAGCCCCACGGACGTGTCGGATCTGCTTTCTATTAATAGCGAAAAACGAAAGGGAGCGATCGTGTGAGCAGCCGAGTGCCGAGTAGTAGGCATCGTTCAAGAGTCTTGCTGCTGTCCAGACTCTGTTAGCAGGACTTCAGAGCCGCTCGAGCTGTCGCGGACTCCACATTCCACCAGCAAAAGCTCTTTGTGCGTGCCTGTTGGAAGCATCCTCTGTTTCTCGGCTGGTGCCCCGAGGCGAACCCTCATACCACACATACACACTCCCACCACCAATCCACGTCACACCGTCCACGACACACATTGCTACACATTCACGCCGGGCGAGTGTAAGTTTCACTATATTTCAATTGTGTACATCAGATTTATCACGTACCGTTTTCGTCGCATCGTTATTTCACGTTAACCGATTTAGTGTTACCTCCCCAAGCTGGTGTTCTATGGTTCTCCACTTGTTGCGTTCTTAATTAAGTGAGCAACGGTATGCCATCGATCGTTGGTGCATCGAATGTTCTCTCGTCTTCGTTGCCGTTTTCTCGACAAACGGGAGACAAGTGTGCGAAGTATTTTATGGACATTGATCCAGGATCGAAGTGTCAATCTGAGGGTGCAGAACTCTGAAGGGAGATATCGAGACACTGGAATCCATGCTGGACTATTGGATGATCTACGGGACTCGATACACGCAGAGCTTCGTAACGTCTGACCATGCTGCGACCTTTTCTACTGAAAATCAGACGCATCGACCACGGAGAGCGGAAGGGAAAGTTCGCACAATATCCGGGGGATGTTTAAACAACGTGCAGTCAAACTTGTCGGTACTGTCTGTGGTGTTTGCTCTTTTAACGGTGCGCTGAGATAGCTACGTGACGTATTAATCGTTTCGGAAATTTACGACCCGGAAGCTGAGAACCGTGAATGGTAGTTTGCTAAAGATGCGCTTGACGACCCAGGAGGATCAATTTGTAAGATACAGAGTGTCTCTAACTTACTTTCGATGCCGACGTATTTCGGAAAAGTTGTAAGCTCAAAAATGGCTTGTAATGTTGTTACGAGTGCATATGTAATATTATTCATGTATGATGTGCAATTTTATTCATGTATAATATTGCAATTATTATTGATTTTTATATATTATGTAAATATTACAAGTAATGAAATGAGCCTTATTCAACAAATAGGTAGTGGATTTTTATTTACGGTAAATTTGAAACAGTTTGTTGGACAAGAATTGGTACGAGATTTTGGGGTGCATTTGCATGAACATGTACATTATTAATTTAACGTTGAATATAATAATTTTTAACATCTCAAGTATTACACATTTGCTTTAAAATACATATGTATGTATATATTTATTTGAAAATATATACGTATTTTTATATTTTTCTAATATCTAATCCATATGTGGATGACATATGAATATTAAGTCATAAATAATTTTGTTAAATATATAAGAACTTGTCCAACAGAAAACAGTTAAATACTATAAATTTAATAAAAATAATATTAATAACAAGGGATTTTCCATAAATGTAAAATGACATTAGTAGTGTTAAAGCATTTTTGAGCATATGTGTACGAAATTTCTTTCTATTCTCCTTTGTAGAACGGCATCGTAGAGACTCTGTATATTGCAGAATCTAGGGATCCTGATTAATGGAACGATCTTGATGAAAATTGTAATTTGAAGAAATTGGAATAATTTCTACATTTGAGTTCGATAATCGAACGTCCAAAGCTCGGACAGTCTCCCAAATATGGCGGGGTGAAAGAGCACAGATATAGAAGCGAATGGTGTCGGCGCCGTGATAACTCACTGTCTATAAATGTACGTCGAATATCCTGTTTCAAGATGTCCAAGCGTGACGTCTACAATTATGTAATATTGTTTCCGCTCCCACGCAGCGTGTAATGCACCTTGCCCACGTATAATGCCAATAATCGAGAAAGGCAATTTGCGAAATTAACACTTCGCAGGAGCATCCGTTCACGGAGCACCCCCCATCAGCCTGCTATGCTACCAGCAATAATCGATGTCCCAATTCAAGGATTCTCCGGCGCTAATTACGAGCAACACAGTTTGCGTTCCCTTAGGTCAAATTGTTGTCGAAATTAAAGCTCGCTTCCATGGAGAAGCTAAGAAAGCTCGATGACGACAACGGCAACGAAGACGAGATCACGATGAAGATGGAGGAAGTTCCATAGAGAGCGGGGGAGAAAAAGAGAAAGAGAGAGAGAGGATAAACGGATAAACGAACGAAGCGAGAGAGAGAGCGTTGCTTTTCTAAAATTAGAACGACGAGAAAGAGAAGGGGATGGCTCCTTATAGAGCTTGCGACGTCGAGCTTGCGGCCAGGGTTAGCAAACTGGTACTCTCTTTCTCGTCTCAGAATATCAGATTACCTTTGCATCAGTGCATCGTCTGCCCCTTCGACTTCCTTTCTTTTCTAGCTTCTTCTTTCTCGCGCCTGCAAGGTTCGATTTATGCTCGACAAAACACCCTTCGTCTCTCCCTTACTATTTTACTCTCTCTCTTTCTCTATCTCTCTCTTTCTATTTCTGTTTCTTTCTGGCTTGTTTATTGATTATTTTCCGTGAGAAGTGCGCCACGTTGGACCAACGAAAGATACGATCGAATCGTCCATTTTTTTTTAAATCTTTTTCCCCCTGTTTCTTGACACGAGTGCAAAAGCCTTGCTTAGGGAAATCTAACGTACGATTCGATCGTGGATTTTTCATCAGCGTCCGTGTGAGATTGTGATCGGACTGTATGAACAACGATGCACCGTGACGTGTAACGATACGAGGAACAACTGGAGGCACTGTGTTAATCGGTGGTTTGTTTGCGTGTTACAGCACCCTAACCATCCGCAAACATGTCTGACGACGAGGAGCAATACTCGTAAGTATTGAAAATTCGTGAGAGACCACCAAAAGAATTCGATTTCTCGACGTTCTCTGTCCCTCTGCAATTCCGATTAAATCGAGACTTTGATCTCGAACGAATTTATTTCTTCAACGATAAACGTGCTATAATTCCATGTGGATTTCGATGCTTCGATTGCTTCGATCGGAAAGAAGCATTCACTGGGATTCACAGAATAAATAATACAGGAATAGGACTATGTCTTACACTAAAACATTCATTTCTGATTTTTTAAAATACACATTATTTGTAGGAATAATTTCTCGATGTTATTTTTTAATATTAGTACACTCGTGAAAATTGATAAAATCGTAGAGATATAAGAGTAATCGTAGTAGCAAAAACGGGAGTAAAATAATCCTGAACAACGTCAGAGCCATTAATCCTGAATTTACTTCAGTGAATTTTATCGAAACGAGAAAACATCGATGGATGAGACGATTGAAAATTACATACGAGAAATGCTCGTGTAAGGTGAAAAATGGCCAGATGCAAATCCGTAAAATGGAACTCGTAAAACGTACGAGTGGCAGGGAACGTCGGGGATATTGCAGGAAAGCGTTTAAATAAGAGACAGTACGATACTCCATCACGAAATATCGCAGAAATTATACGTCGTCGATAGATCACGTTCTCTGGTTACTTCTAGTCACAGTAGCCGATTTCTAGTCATTTTTAGTCACGTGCAAGCGTATCAGGTTGCCGCATAAATTGAGGATAACTGAGATCCATGTCGATCGTTGTCACGTTACGAATATACGAGAAATTACGTTCACGTAAGATTGAAAAATCATCGTGATTTATGGCTCGTCCCACACTTTGTCCCCTCGTCGTTTAATGCATACGTTATAACCGACGTTCATGGTACGTTCACACCCCCGACCCCCGTTGTGAATACACCCCGTCCCCCTTCGTACCCACGTGTTTTTGTGTTGAACAAAACTATAATTGTACACGTTAATTGCACGAATCACCTGATGCACTGCACGCTAAAAATGTCGAACTATTTTTATCGGTGTATATTCGATGTTTGAAGTAAAAAATTCTTTTGTAGAATTTTAAAAATAACGAGCATTAGGGTTTTAGCGTTTCGTGGAAAAAGAGGGTGTTATATAATAAGCGATTTTTTCTGGAACAACGTAGTCTTCGACCTACGCAGAGAAACTTGAAAATTAAAAATTAAAAAATTTTCAGGTATTAAGGGTTAGATCAGTAGTATAATTGTATCGATGTAATTAGCTTGTTAGCACGTTACCATCATGGTAAAATTATTTTTGATTAAGTGGGTGTACCTCAACAAATTAAAGGAAAGCAAAAAGTTTTCTACCTATAGTATCATAATATGTCTGTGTCTGACCACACGTGAACTCGCCGTGTTAACTCGCTAATCCAAATACCTTCAAGGCAAAAGAAACCGTGATCAGTGCAAGTAAACTAGTCTATTTTTAATACGAGGAAACATTAAACGTAGAGATCCTAACACCGCATTTATCACCGATGAATCATTCGGTTGGATCGACTTTGATCTATATTCAGTGACACGAACAGACGGTCCAAAAATGTCTTGATAAATCAAACGTTTCTCAACCCCTCTATTTTTCATAATCTCCATCAAATTTATCGATTCGAACATTTTCAGCGTGCAAAAGCCCCGAAAAAATGTACTTCGTCCTCCCAACCCCCCCCCAAAAATTTTTGTTTCCGTCTTCGATTTTTTTTCGTAGCCCCGTACACGCACCTGTGCACCTTCACTAACAACATTCGTTTTCCATTTTCTCTTTTACAGCAGCGAGGAGGAGGTGGTCGAGGAAACGTAAGTGTTGCTGGCAATTCCTTAAATCCTCGGTGATCGTTCCCGAAACATTTCTAACGTCCACGTTTTTTCCGTTTTCTCATTTCAGGAAGTAAGTTCCAGAGGCGTGCCTGCGTATAGGTGTCTGCCATCGGTGGGCAGAATCATCGCGGGCTATGATTCTCGTTTTCCGATCTCGATTATAGACATTAGGCTCCTTTCGAGCTGACAATCTCTTAGCTGTTTTTTAGATCTCGTCAACGACGCTTGATTTTGCTCTTTGATGACCGTCGCCTCTCTTCTAGATTCTAGGATCTGTCGGTTTTCTTTCAGAACTAGGAGAGATCGCTCTTTTGCTGTCTCTTTTTACTTTTTCAAACTTTATTTTGCGAGACTTCATTTTTCCTCGATGACTCTTTTCGATTTTATAGATTTTGGAATTTTACGAAGGTTTGTTGAGTAAAGGTTTATTTTGATCTGAATCTCACTGTTCACTGAATTATTTTTCGCTGTTCAGAAATTTTTTGCAATTTTTTATCGTATGCTTGTTATGTTTTTGAGTTATTTATGTTAAAATTGCATGTACTTTTTATAGTGTAATTTGATAGTTGATAATAGTCTTCATTTGATCTAATTCGTAAACGCTTTTGTTGAACTTTTAAATAAAAGATAGGTCAGTAATAAAATTTCAATGAATTTACATATGTATGAAATTATAATTTTATTTCATTATTTTGGTTAATACAAAATTATTTTAAACACGTGTTTTGTGTATAACAAAAAACATCTACAGAGTTAAACATAAGTTTGCAACATTGAGAAAACAAGTACATTTTTATTTTTCATCCAAAAATTGAATAAAAACGTCTACGACTTAGATTAATAAATGAAGAACATAATTTTGTCAAAATTTGAATCGAACAATTTTTGTATGTCGATGAAATAATTTTTAATTTGATAACATTCAATGTAATGAAAAGGTATAACAGTGATTTCAAGGAATTACATTCAGCGACTTAGAGCGATCTCTCTCGAACTATCGTTAAAATTAGAACAGTCGTGCTTCCCTCACGAAAATAGAGCAGACGAATGGCGCTCTAACTGTGAACACCTAATTACATATTAATTCGATGATTTTCGAACGACGATACACGAACAACTACTACTAGTTACTATGACATTAGTGTCATTTGTTTGCGTAACCGCGATTCAATTTTCTTCTTTTACCCCTTCGTTCAATATAGAACAAAGTGGATTTAAGGAGAATATTGAATCGTTTTAAGCTGAACGAATTGAGGAGAAATGTTTAACGTTTTAATTGCTACAAACACTTTCAAATTTTTTCATTTTTCAATATTTAAATTTTTAAGTTTTTTATTTTTGTATACATTCACATTCTTAAATTTACAATTTTACAAATTTACAAATAAAAATTTTTAAATTAATAAATTTTTTAATATTCAATTTTTCGAATGATCAAAAACATTAATATTTGGATTTACAAATTTTTAAGTTCAAAATTGACAAACGTTCAAATGTATAAATTTACAAATATGAAGTTTAGATTTTATGTTTAATTTTTGATTATATTGATGATTGTATAGAATTGATTGTTTTACCAGAATGAATTAAAGAATAAAAATAGAGAGAGAAGAAAAATGTACAATATGAATTGTGGCAGTTATCGTTAATATTTCTAAAAAATTCGTGATAAAAGAGAGGACGGGAAAGAATAATTATCAGCATCGAGTTCTTTTGAAATAGACTCAAACTCCGAGATTATCTCTGACTTTGGTTTATGATCTTCGTTTCTCTCTTTTTTTTCAATCTATCTATCTCTCCTTTCGCCTGAATCTCCACATACAATACACAAAAAAAAACAACCAACCAACAAATCAAACCACCAATCACCATCGACCGAACGACCAACGCGGCGCGAATCGAAAACTCGAAAAATCAAAGGCAGCCGGAGAGGAAGATCGAGTAAGTTTTCAGAAAAAAACTGTAAATTCGGCAAAGCTGCTGTTAGCAATGTTCATTTCTTGTTTTTCTTTTTCTTCGTTTTCTTTCTCTGCCTACTGTCTCTCTATCTCTATTTCTCTGTTAATCGTCTAACCGTTGTCGTTGTTTTGTTCTCGATATCAATATTATTATCTGTACGTCTTTGCTGTTTCTGTTCGCGCAATGTGACCTTTTTTTTTCTTCCGCAGTAAAACTTCATTTATGTGAACATAATCGAGAGACAATACGGTTCAATGGCTGGGTCGTTCGGGATCTCTTGATCGAATTAACCCCTTAAGTGCTATAAACGTGTTTATCGAGTGCAAAAGTTGAAACAGTTCAACCACTGCAGAGTTGATGCAATTAGATTCAATGTTTCGCATTTGTCGTCCAATATCTTTTCAATTTTTTTTTAATAAAATTTCAGAGTAAAAATTTGTCTGTTTATATCTTTTCAATTCTTTCTTTAAATAAAATTTCGGAGTAAAATATTTATTAAAATAGCACTGGAGGATTGAGAGTTCACGAATCGGCCATTTTGTATATCGTTCGATACTCAGCAATTAATTTCGTTAACCCTTTTGTTATTATGGCTGACTTTGTCAAAGATTGTTAATACATTAACCTTTTCGATCTTTCAGAAATTTTTGTACGCTTTATGAGTAGGAAATTATTTTGAAGCTTACTGCATGAAATTTGAGTATTCAGATAAAGTAAATAACTTGGAATTCAGAAAATTGTTATCTAATTGTTATTTTGGTAGTTGGATTATGTTTAGTGAAATTGTTGTAGATGTATTTAGTGTCAGAAGGGTTAAATTGTGTATTTGTAGGGGCTCTCGTTATATTGCCATTGATGGAAGGAAGAATTTATAAATGTATAGATTTGCAAGTTCTTAAATTTAGAAATTCACAAATTCGCAAATTTAGAAATTCACAAATTCACAAATTCACAAATTCACAAATTCACAAATTTACAAATTCACAAATTCACAAATTCACAAATTCACAAATTCACAAATTCACAAATTCACAAATTCACAAATTCACAAATTCACAAATTCACAAATTCACAAATTCACAAATTCACAAATTCACAAATTCACAAATTCACAAATTCACAAATTCACAAATTCACAAATTCACAAATTCACAAATTCACAAATTCACAAATTCACAAATTCACAAATTCACAAATTCACAAATTCACAAATTCACAAATTCACAAATTCACAAATTCACAAATTCACAAATTCACAAATTCACAAATTCACAAATTCACAAATTCACAAATTCACAAATTCACAAATTCACAAATTCACAAATTCACAAATTCACAAATTCACAAATTCACAAATTCACAAATTCACAAATTCACAAATTCACAAATTCACAAATTCACAAATTCACAAATTCACAAATTCACAAATTCACAAATTCACAAATTCACAAATTCACAAATTCACAAATTCACAAATTCACAAATTCACAAATTCACAAATTCACAAATTCACAAATTCACAAATTCACAAATTCACAAATTCACAAATTCACAAATTCACAAATTCACAAATTCACAAATTCACAAATTCACAAATTCACAAATTCACAAATTCACAAATTCACAAATTCACAAATTCACAAATTCACAAATTCACAAATTCACAAATTCACAAATTCACAAATTCACAAATTCACAAATTCACAAATTCACAAATTCACAAATTCACAAATTCACAAATTCACAAATTCACAAATTCACAAATTCACAAATTCACAAATTCACAAATTCACAAATTCACAAATTCACAAATTCACAAATTCACAAATTCACAAATTCACAAATTCACAAATTCACAAATTCACAAATTCACAAATTCACAAATTCACAAATTCACAAATTCACAAATTCACAAATTCACAAATTCACAAATTCACAAATTCACAAATTCACAAATTCACAAATTCACAAATTCACAAATTCACAAATTCACAAATTCACAAATTCACAAATTCACAAATTCACAAATTCACAAATTCACAAATTCACAAATTCACAAATTCACAAATTCACAAATTCACAAATTCACAAATTCACAAATTCACAAATTCACAAATTCACAAATTCACAAATTCACAAATTCACAAATTCACAAATTCACAAATTCACAAATTCACAAATTCACAAATTCCAAACTCTCTTATCGACAAATTTACAAATTAAAAATTTCCTCATGTTCTAATTTACAAATTTCAAATTTTGCTCATTCACAAATTCACAAATTTCAGTAAAGCTATCCACATAAAAGTGGCAAAATAACGAGAGTTTCTCCTAACGTAAATCTCAATAAAACAATCGTCAAAAAATGTTATTATATTTTGAATTAATAAACTCTCTACATTGAACGACTATACTGATCCATGGTAACAAAAGGGTCAATAAAGTATTTAATTAAATTCCATTAAAGTTAAATTCACATAAATAGAGCTTTACTGTGTTCTGTACAAAACACTTTCTCTACTGCGAATCTTGCTATTTCTCTTTATTCTACAGTTTGTTATACGTTATTTCGTGAAATCGTTGAATCTACTTCAAATATATCAGCAATGGCCCGTTTTTGCACGAGTCACGTATTTTTCGAGTTCCTCTTTCTGTTTTCACCCTTATTTTTAAACACTGTATATACGCGACCAAGTTACGATTTTTAAGACGAGGCTATTTCTGTTTCGCAACAGACTTTTGGTGTTATTTAATAGTTTCGTTGCTATTGACGCATATGGTGCGTCATGATTGCGTCTCATGAATTGTTCGATAAATTCTAAGTAGAATGTTTATTATATATTTTTATTTTAATATTTTGATGACTTTTATTACACATTCTTAAAAATTAATATTACATATAATATGTGCTGTATACATATATGACATAAAATGTGTACTATATTATATATGTATATGTTTGTTCTATATTACACATATTATTATTTGAAGTTTTTCATAGTGTACATTACTGAAATTTCTTACTTTCTGAATAATTTATTTTTTAATATAAATGAGTACAAAATTACAAGAACATTACTTACATTCACTCTTGCCAATTATAATAAATTCTCGTTATATTACCAACATAACTGTAAAAGCAAATATCGTCAAAAATAATAAACAAATTAAAAAATGTTTAAAGTTCAAAATTTGTAAACACAAAAGACTGTAAACCAGTCATTTTTAAACCCATAAAAAACATTTTAAAATATAAAAGTAAAAATCTCCAAAATGAAAATTTTCTCTAAATAATAACATAACGAGGGTCTACATTGTTAAAACAATAATTGAAACACAATGTATGTATCAATAACAACGAAAGCGTACAAGTAATTCGTACCAATAACATATTCTGTTGCGTACAGAACAGCCATTAAAAAGCTTGCGTTTTGTAAACTGATCCACGACGGTTTTCTCGATTTTTGTTCTTTTTCAACGATACGTTTTCAATGCCCCTTTTCTGTACCTTCAAAGCTTTCCAATTTCATCGACAAATCGCGCAAATTGTTTTCTTCGTCATGTACATAGATGGAATTTTCTAGTGAAACGACGAAGTGATTCGATATTCGTTGCCTTGACGTGGCGACGATGAAAAATCACGTGTTTCATTCTGCTACTCTTTTTTCCCCCCGCGTTTAAAATTATTGTTCGTGGATCGTAGTAACTGGTACTTGTTTCGAGACCCATTGTTTATTGTTCCCATGAAATACAGTGAAATCTGTTTATATTTTTGTTCGAGTTTCTGTATTTTCTGGTGCTGTGATGGGTAGAACAGAAAATGTAGATTACTAAAAATTTGTGGATATTTCAAAGTTTTTAATTGTTTGCACATTTGGAGATGTGGAAATTTAGAAATCTGATTTAGAGATCTAGAAAGTAAGAAATCAAAAATTGTAGGAATTTAGAAATTTTGGGACTTTGAAATTTAGTGATGAATAAATTTAGAAATTTGGAAATTTCAAAATTTTCAAATAGATATTCAAAAATTTGGAAATTAAGAAATTTAAAAATTCAGACATGTAGACATTCGCAGATTTAGTAATTTAGAAACGTAACAATTCAGGAATGTGAACATTACAAAATTTGGAAATTAAGAAATTTAAAAATTCAGACATGTAGACATTCACAGATTTAGTAATTTAGAAACGTAAAAATTCAGGAATGTAGTCATTCAAAAATTTGGAAATTAAGAAATTTAAAGATTTAGAAATTCAGATATTAAAAAATTTAGAAATTTAGAAATTTAAAGATTCAGAAAGTTACAAATTCAAAAATCCAAAAATTGAGAAATACAGAAATTAGTAAATTAAAAATTTGAAACCTGAAAAATGTAATAAAATAAAATTTTCAAGATGAAAAGTTGGCCATGCCCCAACGCCCCCGGGCGCCCACGAGTGCACCACTGGCAACTACCCATCACTGCTCCACACAGCCATCAATGACAAATAGATTTTAATCGTGTACAATACTGAGGTTCCCCGTCTCGTTCGCCATATTTTTCAATGATTTACGAACGATCGCGTCATCTCGTATTCTTGGATGAAATTGACGATTTATTTATAATACCTTCGACAGCTATAACTTCGTTAAAAAATAATATTTCATTTTGACGCGTTGTTTGCTTCAACTGACAATCAGCCATTTTGTATTAAAAATATTAATGAAAGGTTTGCGTAGTCGTTATACGTTAACCCTTAACTGGTATGGTGGTCTAAAAATCCTTCTACAATTTCTCAAAATTTATAGTTAAAACAAATAAAAAAGATACTATCAGTTATACTTGATTTAAAAACTGATAAACTGATAACTGATTTAAAAACAGATAACTGATTTAAAAACTGATAAAATTACAGTTAACAAATAACAAAAATTAGGTCAGAATCCACCTTATCAGTTACGGGTTAAGCTTTAAATTGATGTGGCATAAATGTTGTTTTGCG